CATACTGCTTGTGAATTAGTGTGGCTAAGGAACCTTCTACAGGAGATAGGATACAACATTAATACTCCAATGAAGCTCTATTGTGACAATCAGGCTGCAGTTCATATTTCTTCTTAATCCGGTGTTTCATGAAAGAACCATGCACATAGAGGCTGATTGTCACTTTGTGAGAGAGAAGGTGCTGAATGGAGTGATAGACACTGCATATGTTAATATAGAAAACTAGTGGGTAGACTTATTTACAAAAGGGTTGAGTCGGGAAAGAGTGGACTACATATGTAACAAGCTGGGATTATATGATATATACTCACTAGCTTGAGGGGGAGTGTTAGTGTAGGGGTATTTTTGTCTTTATACTTATGTTGAGGTTGCTGATCTGTAATATTATATTAGAACTAGTGTCCCTCACTTAAATAAAGGCACATGTGTCTTTTCCATTATATTAATAATATAAAAACATGTCTGGCCGAATGGGAGAGTAACTTTTTCCCTAATTCGAACCAGACTTTTCTTCTATCCTTTTCTCCTCCTTTCTCTCTCTCTTTCTTCCTTCTTTCTTCCTCTTTCTTCTTGGCTATTATTAGACTAACAGAACTCAAAGGCAGGCCGAATTATAACACTTTGTTTTTCAAATTTTCCAAAAAAATAAGAAAAAATTTCATTATTGGCATAAGAAAAAATTTTCAAATTTTCCATTTATTGTTCTTTCCTACAATGAAAATTGTTTATAATTTTTTGATAATTGTCTATAGGTTGTTGGGATAGTATAAAAATTGTCAAAATAAATTTGGAAGAATCAGCATTTTTCTATCTATGTCGTTGTCGATATTTTAATCCTTGCTTGCACACAGTAGTTGCTATTATCGGATGGGAACAATGTCTGAGAACCATCTTAGCAACAATATTGCTCTCAAGTCATTCAGCAGCTTGAATTTTATATATCTAAGAAAGAGTGCTCCCATGGTAGGGCTAGTTGAAAAGGCACTGTTAGAGGCAGAGAATAGTTGAGTTCAACAATGGAGTGGTTCCCTTTAGTGGGCATCAGTAAGTGGTTGTTAGAATTGCCTTAACAGCCCCCCCCCMAAAAAAATATAAATAAATAAATAAATAAAAGGAACACCAAAAAAATCAGTCCTAAATTAAATTTCTTGAGCCAGAAAGGGCTATTATGCAATTGTAGGGGTGATAATTCTTGGCCCAGCCCACAAATTTTCAAGCCCAGGCCTAGGTTTTTGTGTACAAGCCCAGCCTGGTCCGCAATATAACATTACATAAACCAAGTCCCACATTGCTCAAGAGTGGGACTGAAGGCCTTGCCTTCATCCATAAAAGGATAGGTAAGCCAAAATAAACCAAGCCTAAGAATTAAATGAGGCCCATGCCTTATTTTTCGCACCATAAGCCCAAAGTCCAGCCAAGTCCAACCAAGTTTAGGCTTGTGCAATATTTTTTATGTTATTTAATTTAAAATTTTCTAAATAAGTGAACTTTTATTAGATTCAATAGGCCCAAAGTCATTAGGCCTGAAAAGCCCATAAGCCCAGCCCGGGCCCGTGTAGGGCCAGGCTTGGGCTTGCAATTTAGACCTGGGGTGCGGGTTGGGCCAGGCCTGGGCCTAGGCTAAAGCCCTTGTCATCTGTGCAAAACCCGGTCCAGGCCCAGCTCAGCCCAGCCCAGCCCAAGGTCACCCCTATGCAATTGTGGTCCCAGCATCTAGGTCTTGAGGAGAGGTGGCCTGGGTAAGAACCTAACCTTTGGCATTTTGGACAAAAATGGCTGCTTACAGACTTGATCTGTAGAACCCTTTTCCATGCTTGTCAGCCTTGGGTTCTCCACTGCTCCAAGCAATGGTCCCTCAAATTTCTTGAACACCTCTTATAATGCTCACCTCTCCAAAAGAAACCTAACCACCAAGATGTCACCTTATCTCTCCCCTCCAACCTCCCCTCAAACCCATGCTTTTAATAGCTAAATATTAAGCATTCTATCTGTTTCCACTGTCACCCCTCTCCCTCCCTCCCTCTCTCTCTCTTTCTCTCTCTCCCTAATATTTGATCAATACAAGGTATGGATCTAAAGGTGATCCAGTTGGTGGAATTTGAACCCGAGTGTTGATTAAGAGTTTAGAGGGGGATAGGAAATGGACTTTAGGTTGTTCCTGGTCTTCTCTGCAACAGAAGCCAAGAAAACATTGAAGGAATCAAACTGTATAAATAACACCGAGAAACTGTATTCTTTGGCTTATAAGAGTTATCAAGGGAAAGACTATTTCTTTTTTTTTATCCAGAAAATCTCCTGCATAAATTCCAATGTGAGTTCTTTGAGTGAGAACTTTTCAGCCTATTTTTGAGACAATTAAAATTTCCTATAAACTTCCTTAAATAGAGAAATTTCCTTAACACTTAAAATTTAATCAGTACACCTAAATCCCACTTTCTGAGCAAAGGAGAAATGTTAAGCATATCTTTCTTCATAAGGCAACCCAGGGCACAAGGCTTCCACCAATGCGAGGTCTGAGGATGGACAGATGTATCCTTACCCCTTCACATACAGAGAGACTGTTTCCAAGATTTGAACCCTGGTCACCCAGGTTGCAATGGAGCAACCCAACCGTTGAGCCAAGGCCCACCCTCGTTAAACATCTCTTTCTTCATAAGTACTAAAAATGCTTATAATGACAAATTAAATGAGACATACTTGTCCCATATTCCTAATTAAAACAACCAAAAAGTGAGAGAAAACCTAAATTGGAATACCTGGCATACAATACGCATCCATGTGGGACCCATATGCAAATGCTACTGACAGCTAGAAGCTATGCACATGGCTGACTATCTGTGAGGCCTGGGTGGCTGGGTTGGCCTATTAGTCAGCCTGTTAGAAGCCAAACTTTATTTATTTATTTATTTATTTATTTTGAGAAGAGATCAAGTATAATTTCATTAGAAAGGAAAATACCTCTGTTCAACTTCTGGTTGTACAACAAACGGAGAGAAAACAAAAAGAAAAATTAGACCATAAAAGGCCAAGTGATAGCACAATAAAAGGCCTATATCTGGGTCTAGCGAAGACTCGGGCCAAGAGGGGGCTGCACATAGGTGGCTTGACAGCTCACTTTTGGGATACCTTTGTAAGCCTTGGATCCCGCATTGTAATGGATTCACATTCAATACCATTGGTCTTAGTAAATTCATCAAGCATTGAATTCCATCAAATGAAAGGTGCTGAAATACTTGAATGAATATTATATTAGGTAATTTCTATGGCACCAAAAAGGCACTGTACCTGAAACACTTTGACCAGTCAAAATCTCACATAAATTTGAATGAAAATACTGATTGATTGGTTTGTTTTGTTATGCGTCAGTTGCATGTTTGAATATGCCATCTAGTAGTTTGGTTGAGTTATTATGCAAGAAGGTACATGTCTCCGTTTCGAGTCATCATGAAGGTTGATGTGCATCTATATTCAAGAATGTATCTCTTCTATGTATCATAAATGCAATGAAATTATACAAAATCTTTCTAAAAGAGGACTGCTAGGAAACACTAAACAATGAGTTTGGGCAACTCTTAAATTCTTCACCCTACAGACATGGGTGGGACCCATAAAAGCATACTACAAGATAAATTTGGACATACCTTTTCATGGGTTCCACACTTCTGCCTTGTCCACAATGTGAGGAAAACAAAGTTGCATAAACTTGTGTACTAAAACTCAAGGTATTCCATATTCTTTCTAAAAACTATAAAGGACCTTGCTGCTTTTGCATGCATGTGAATGTGTATGAAGCATGAGCCATGCAGGATAATGCATATATGCTTGTTTATAGAGCTGTAATTGGATCAGATTCAGCAAAATCCGAATCCAAAATTCAATTGGATTTGAAGACCTCGAATTCAAATTTGAATCCAAACGGACTCGGATCGGATTCAGATTTAATCCGACTCTGCTATAATTTTTTTAAATATGAAAAAAAATTAAAAATTTAATTACTTTTCAACCTTTTATATATAATAAATTAATGTAAATGTAACATACTGAAGTTATTATTATAAATTCATATATAATATAATATATAGAATATATTTTTTATAATTTTAAATATAGTCGTATAAAATTTATATATTAAGATCAATAAATATTATAATATAATCGGGTTGGATTTTAATTGGATCAGATGGGGTCAAATCCAAATCCCATTACATAAATACATCATCCAAATCCGAGATAATCGGGTCGGATGTCAGATCAGGCCTCGGATTTCCAGGTATCATTGACAGGCCTACTTGCTTAAGAGAAGATTATGGGTATTATAAAAATGTTTATATATCATCAGTGAACTTTGTAGGAAGATATACTCGTTAGATATGCATCATTATCATCTAATGCTTTGCACTTAAAGCATGTATGGAGATGTTAAGCAGATCTCTTTAGTAGATGTTTGTCTTTTGGTGAACTATCTACTCAAAACCCTAGTCTGCCTTCCAATTAACATCTGTTAACCACTTATTTTCCTGGGTTAGGTTATTTCCCCAAGCTTTTATGAAGACAAAATTACAGACTTCAAGTTGAACTATTGAGTCAGTTGAATATTCTACTACTGTTTGGAGGATTTGATGGTTATGCAATTACAAGAGGCTCTGCCATAAGTTTTTTTAAGTTTTGATGGGTTCTTGTAGAACATAGAAAAAAGTGAAATTTCTTGAGATGAATTCTTCCATAAATGTAGTAGGAAAACTGAGTCAGTGACTGGTTCTGGACAGTTTGAACCATTGGTTCATGAAATTCCCCTCCTTACCCATTGGTCAACATTTTGGGTTTGAAAACATTAGATTGTATCCACATATGATTGGTGGATACCTAGTATTTTGAGACATCTTAGATCAGCATCTGCTCAATTAGTTGTGCTATAACCAGACTAGAGTCTTTTAGTGCTACTTTTGCAAAGCCTGTTTCTCATTTTGTGGCTAACCACTTCTCTCATTCCAATTGTGCAGGATACAGAGGTGGTTGACATGTGCTTGAGAGCTCTAAAAGCACTTGCTTCTTACCATTACAAGGAGAGAGGTACTGGTAAGGAGGGATTGGGCTCATATGCCTCAGGTCTAATGGACCCAAACGGGAAACTGCAGGAAGGCATTTTAAGTCGGTTCCTTAGGTCATTACTGCAATTGCTCCTTTTTGAGGACTACAGGTATGGAATGTGAAGAAACACACTATAGAAAGATCCATCAGGAGGAAATATGTAGAGTAATATTTTCATGGTTTGAAGTTACTTTATTTCTCTTTGCTGTTGTAAACTAATTATAAGCTTGCACTGTTGGATTCAGCACTGAACTTGTCAGCTCAGCAGCAGATGCTCTCCTCCCATTGATCCTTTGTGAACAAGGTTTATACCAGGTAATGTATATCAATCTTTCTCCTCTTACCTTGACAAGCTAGTTTGACAGCATGGTTAGCGTATGAGCCCATTCCAATCAATCTTACCCCCCAACCCCACCCCCCGGAAAGAAAATTATTTCTTAATTTTTATTTTCCCTGTTGTAGATATGTTCTTAAAGTTTAGTTTTGGTTTTATTTGGCTTGCTTTTTCTACAGAGATTAGCACATGAATTGATAGAAAAGCAGATGGATCCATCACTGAAATCAAGGCTAGCAATTGCATTGCGATGTCTTACAAGCTCAAATCAGCTTTCTTCATCCCTTGACCGGTTGAATTACCAAAAGTTCAGAAAGAATCTTTTAAATTTTCTTATTGAAGTTCGTGGATTTTTGCGGACAATGTGATGAATGTAACATATAGGAAATGAGAGAGAGAGAGAGATGAGTGCTTTGTTTTATGAGCTATATGTTTGCAAGTAAATCGCTTTAGCATTGGCAGTTGCATTTGTATATGTCAAAAATTCATACCACTGATTCATTTAGCTTTCTCTTCAGAAATTCTTTGGCACAAAGTGCTGCAAATTTTGAGTGTTGGATCCATGAATCCGTCGCTGACAATTCAACATAAATGAGTCCATTGTAGAACTATCCAAGTTCCGAACATCAAAATTTTCAAATATGACGAACCAAGTAGAACGCTAGAAAATGATTTTAACACGCCTGAGGTCCCAACGATGCAGGGGGAATGGATGATTCCTCAAAAGAACGAAACTGCAAAAGCCCAGCCATGTTAGGTGTCGTTTAACAATGCTGAAGTCTGGAATCTGAAAAGTATAAAAGTTATTATTTGGCTCTTAAGTCGGGAAAGAGGTATACATGCTTTTCTGTTTTTAAGAGGCTCTAAACAAGATTGTTTGAGATAAGATCAATCTTTCAACACCTGAAAATGGTGGATTTTACCATTTTAATCCAAAGGGAAGTTTTTATCCAACCATCTAATGTGTTGAAGTTGAAGTTAAAATAGCAAATGGTTGGTGGATGCACCTTCCACAAGGAACCACTATCAATGTCATCAGTAGATGTCGCCAGTTATACAAAAATGAGGTGAAAGTTCCCAAAGTGTTGACATAGAGATGCATACCTTGCCCGTAGAGGTGTCAATTGGACTGGATTTGGTCTAACCCGATCCAGTCCAATGTGAGTCCACTAACAAATGGATTGGACCCAATCCAGTCTAAATCCAATCCAATTCATTAAAATGTAAATGGATTGGATTGGATCCAATCCAAACCAGATGAAATATCAAAAATTATATAAAATCACTTTATTGCAAGTACTTTGTAAAAGTGATTTTGTAAAAGCACTTTTAGAAAAGTATTTCCATAGAAGTGCTTATAAAAGTACTTTCGTAGAAGTGCTTTTTATAAAAGTATTTTCGTAAAAATGCTTTTATAAAAGTACTTCCATAAGTGTTTGTAAAAGTACTTTTATAAAAGTACTTTCATAAAAGTGATTTTATAAATCTACTTTCACAAAAGTACTATAAAAGTGCTTTCGTAAAAGTACTTTTATAAGTGATTTCATAAAAGTACTTTTGTATAAAAGTACTTTTATTAAAAGTGCCTTCATAAAAAGTACTTTTGTAAAAGTGCTTTTATAAAATTGCTTTTGTAAAAGTGATTTCATAAAAGTACTTTTGTAAAAGCTTTCATAAAAGTATTTTTTAAAAGTGCTTTTGTAAAAATACTTTTCATAAAATTACTTTTATAAATGTGCTTTTGTAAAAGTGTTTTCATAAAAGTGATTTTATGATGGCTTCAGTTTTGATTGATTTCAAATTAGACAAGTGTTTGGCCTTATTATCGGATTATTAGAAATTTTGTTTAGTTCCAATTCAAACCAATAAGAATATGGGCCAATTTATTTTGGATTGGCCCAATCCAATAATTATAATGGACCATCCAAATCTGATTTGATAAGGTTTGAATCAGATTGGATCCAAACCAAAACCGGTCAATTGACACCCTTATTTGTCGTGCTTCTTCAGCACTAGGAAGTTTGTGCCTTGGAAAAGTAATTGGTTGGAGGCAAAGGGTCTGAACGATTGCTCTCTAACGTTTACAACTGGTCAGAATCTTGGCAAGAGAAAGTGTTCCTTGAGGTCTGCCATTAATGGAGAGCTTTACAAGGTGAGAAATGGAAATCGTCGCTGGTAAAATTCAATGTTTCTTTCAAGGTTCTAAATATCGATACGCCAGTAGGGGCGTATCGGGCAGTATCGGTACTTCTTTTATTTTTTTTTTTTCAAAATCAGTTCATTGGAGCCAGTTTAAAGTTCCTCCACCCCCTGAACTGATCAAAACCCTGATACACCCTCTGTAGGGGTGTATCGGGGTACTCCCAATACAATACGTATCAACCGATACAGACCAATGTGTGTCAATTTTTTGAACCTTGGTTTCTTTACATTGTGAGAAATGGAAACCATCACTGGTAGAGTTATCGGCATGGCGAAGGAAGACAAAAAAGAACTAAAAAAATACGTTGTTTTTACCTAGAAACCATCCCTGGTAGAGTTGTCGACACCGGAGAAGAAAGACTTGAAGCTTTAACTCGGGAAGTGAATTAGGGCTTAGATTTGGGTTAAAAGAAGCAATTTTTTGTCATTTGAGAAATGATAGGAGGGCATTTAGGACATTTTATCAGCTCTAAATTGCCTCTCACCGCATTAAGTAGTTGGCAAGTTCTTACGGTTTTAGATGATTAGATGTAAAAGTGGCATTCAGATTCACTTTTAAGCATGACCCCATACGTCTATTACCTCTGAAAAGCAAGTTTTTCAAAGATAAGAGATGGATTCAGCGTTATCAAAAGCTGCCTTAATTTCAAACTTTTGAAGAAGTCTGCAATCTGTGTATTAAACCGGTTTGTCCAATTGCTGGAAATCCTAAGTTTGATACGTCCTCAGCGTCCATTATAAGGCTATCTTGCTGTCAGGGCCATAGAGCCCTTGAATCACAAAGGACGCCAGATAACATCCACCTGATTAGTTTACTTGCATCAAGACCCATGTCTTAGATGAATTGAGATTTGCTCCTCACATAAAACTCACAGCTGCATCCCACTGTGTAATAGAAATCTCCCATGAATAATAACATTCAAGTACAGAGATGTGCCCGATGTGAGCTGGGACATGCTGTGAGGTCAGATCCGGACTCACCTTAGATTTGCTAGGGGCATTCGCTCGAACTAAAATGCCTTTATTTTGCCTTTCATTTACTCGTCACTTGCACCAGATTGAAGTAAATGCTAGTCCTAGGTTAGGCCCCATCCACTTGAACAAGGATAAGAAGAAACAATTATAGGCCATGGCTCGTAGTGCTAGCGTTCCTACTTCCTACACCAGACTGTATCTTAGTTCTTAATTGCTTCTTTTCCTTTTTTCCTTTTTTTGCTTGTTTTTGTTACTTCTTTCATTGTTGTAGAATATTGAGTAGCTTCTGGGCTATGTATTATGCATGACTTTGAAACCACCGAAATTCTTGCTCTTTGAAGAGAAGTTGATCTTTTATCACTTGTCGATATCAGGTGATCACATTTCTCAACTGTAGAAGTGAGCAATTTTCTTCATCCATTGCACTTCACCCTGGCTGATCTAGCTTTTCAAATATTGGAGGATCCAAGCCGTATATCAACTTCAAAGGATGTGACAAACGCAGTTTGTTTCTCTAAAATTCTTGATTTAGCCATAAAAACTAGGCTCGACTCCCCTGGATTCACAATGAAATGTTCTGCGCCAAGATTCCAGTCAGGAATCGATACAATTGTATTGATTTTCAGGGCCACGGAAACACCTAATATTAAGGATTTATAAGATTTCTAGTTGTTAAGATACTAATGGTCTGTTTTGTTTCCAAGAAAGGATGGGAAGGGATGGGATGAGAAACAAAAAATTTATTTCTCATTGGGGTGTCCTGAGTTTGGTTTGTTAGTCAAATATGTGGGAAAATCAAGTTTTCAGTGTTTGTTTACTGAGAAGTATAACTAGAAGTATAACTGTTAACATTTACGAAGAAGAAGCCACCAAGAAGCAATTCAATCTTCAATACCTTGAGATACGGCTAGAAGTTTAGGGGCTTGCATCTGCAAACTGCCTTCGCGGTAACTCTACTGCAACATCCCAGAATACACAGCCTCCACTCATGCAATTTCAGGGCCTGCATTTGCTTGACTCCAACAACATTCTAATGTTTCTTTAGAAACTCTTTCAGAAGGAAACCCATCTACGATACCGCCGAAATCAATGGCGTTCAGAACATTGCTAGTGCCCTTAAACGACAACAAAAAAACAAAGAAAAACTGAGCATAAAAATATGCCCCCAAATAAAGTTTAAAATATCAATACGCACCATATGCCGGTAGGGGCACATCAGATGAATCGATACTGCATTTTTATGTTTTTTTTTATTTTTTTCGTTCAGGGGGGCTGGTTTAGGTCTCCTCCATCCCCTGAACCAATCAGACCTTGATACACCCATTGTAGGGACATATCGGAAGGGTCCCGAAACGATACTATCAGCCGATACGGACTGATACGTGTCGATTTTTTGAACCTTGCCCCCAAACCAATGGGTGTTGTCCCAGATGAATCTTTGCCGGAAACAATAACGAAAATGGCCGGAGATCTGTCAGAAGGGGGTAAACATTGGATTGAGAGAAAAATATCAAATCGAAAATACGGAAAAGAGGGCTCAAACGAACCAATGTCACAAGTAGAATGTTGTTCTGGTCTTACCTATGACGGTTATGGCCAGACTGCCAGAGAAGTGATCGGAGTTCTAACCGGGAGGACGTGAAAGCTTGGATTGTGGAAGAAAGACGAGACACTTAGGACAGGTCATGATATATTTTCTCATTCGTTTCCTTTCTCACCGGAGCTGCACTATTTCAGCGTGACCCCACATTGAGGTCACACCCCGTAATTTCTGTCCTCAATTCTCATAAAACAAACAAACGAAAATAAGTATCTAATAGAAATATTCCTATTTTCCCCAGTCACAGCAACCAAACAGGCCATAGTATATGACCTGACAGGTCGACTATCAAGACGTCAGACCAAAACATTAGTTTGATATCCAGATCTACCGATACGGTATCGTATCAATAATTCAATATTTTTCTCCTAGAATTTCGGTGGACGGTGAACCGTATCAACTATCAAGAGCATCGATATTTTGAACCATGTTCAGCACCATGCAGATTTTGTTCAGTATAATTATACGAAGCCACTTCATGAATCACGGAAAACATGCCCAAAACATGGGTTCTTAGTCTTACTATTCTCTTCCTCTCTACTTTCTACCTACCAAACTAATCCACATTAGCACATCCATGCAGAACCTACCCTTTCCAACAAACAGATAAAACAAGTTGATATATCCACAAAACCAACAGAACAATCACAATAGCAAAAACTCACTGATTTCCCACATTGGAGATCCACAGAGAAAAAAGGTGTGAACCAATAACATGAGAAGAAAAGTTAAGACAATTGTAGGTAGATAAATATTATTGACCATTTCCTCTTGTTACTCCAGCAAAGCATGTCCAAGCTATGATTAACAACATCAGCTTAAGTTGCTTTTGTGGGGATCTAATCTAAGCAAAAAATATATCTGATAATTAAAAAAAAAAAAAAACAGACAGGAATGATATGGGGATAACAGTAGTCAACTGCAAACCGTGTAGGCTTAATTAGGCTAATAAATAAAAGGGAATACAAGAAAACATCACTAAAGTTTACAAAATAAAATTAAAAAGAACAAAAATTGATGACAACTTTACTGCTTTGGCCATGCTTCCTTGGGTGAGGCCCTCCAGCAGGCAAGGTTATGAAGGAAATAAGACAGCATCAAAACAATAAGAACCATGCCTTTTCCTTTACTATTCTGTATCCCTGAGGCTTGTGCTTGTGAGCCACATTTTCTTCTGAATCACAAACACCACTTCATCCTCATCCTGCTCTGAATCTGACGCATCACCTGTTGCCACTCCTTCCCAGTGTAGTGCTGGTAAACGTTTCTTAATGAACTCCACTATGTGTTTCTTGTCTCGAACAATAATAAAACCGGTTGGCCTAAGTATGCGGTCCATCTCTATCAGCAAATCCTCAGCACTACACTCTTTCTTCTCGAGGTCAGAGAAGACAGTCCAGGCATGGAGAAGATCATAAGTCCGAGGATAGGTTGAGAAGGCTTCACACCTGCAAAAAGTGATACCAATTAATCAGACGTGCATTTATTTCCATATCTACCTCTTATATCCAGATCTTCATTCTGACTACATTTTCCATTTCGGCTTCTCTTAAAAGAAGCCTTTCCCTCCCTCCCTTGGATCATAATAGGACGCTTTTATCAAGAAAATGACAGATAAGACCAAATAGTTCTGACAAGGCTAACAACAGGAACAGTAAAATAGGCCAAAAGGATACAATCAAGAAACAAGCTACCCTTGAAGGGCTGCCACCAGAGGTCGCCCATTTAAGAATGCTCAACGATAACACTAATTTGACTACAATTATTCACACTTTCACCAAATATATATATATATATATACACGCTGTCCTAATCACAGAAATAATAGAAATTCATTGCACAAAAATAAAAGCACAAGAGGAAATTCCCCACTCAATATGTTAAAAAGACACTGCAAAAGTTACTCCTATATTTTTTATCTTGGAAAAAACAAGGCAAATTAACAGGAAAAGATAAATGTAATTTTATCATTTTTATCAAAAAGAAATTAACTCAGAACATGACCGAGAGGAAGTACCATGTTCTGAGCAACTAACTCAGAACATGACCATAAGGCTTCAATGGGCTAAGAGGAGTACCAACTCCATGGCTAACTCCTTGGCTAAACAGGGGGTGGGAAGATCTAATTTGTTTTGGGCTATTCTGTAATATGTTTTTTCGGGTTTGAAAGGGAGGGTTAAGACATTTTACCCCTCCTTTCTGGTTGTATCTTACTTATCTCTTTTAATAAAAGTGCTGTTATTGATCAAAAAAAAACAAAGAAATTAAGTAACCCACTTATAGAAATACCTTTTATCACTAGTTCAGCACTTTTGATGAAAAAGGTCCAAAATTTTCTTTAGTTAAAAAAAATTCTTAAAGGCATAGTTTGCATACCAGCTGTGTATGGTGCCAATTAAGCCTCTGTCATATATCAACTTGAGTGTGTTTGGTCCATCTTCTGGCACAACATTCATCACCCAAACATTTTTGTCATTCAGAGCAGCTGCAAAAGAACCAAAGTTTGCTTTCATGTCCATCACATTCCTCAGAGTGTCAGGCTTAATCTTTGGACTCAAGAGATTCCAGTAACTCTCTACCCTCCGTCGCCAAACTTCCTGCATCACATTAATAATATATGAACCAGGTGAGAATGGGTTTTTCTGCATGTATGTATAATATGCCTAAGTTACTAATGCAAATTAAATACAGTGGAGAACAGGTGTGGATTACCGTGTCCTTTTCAAATATCTCACTAGAATAGCCAAAATCAGCGAGCCGGGGAGGAGAAGAAGTTAAACGAGCTGGCCATGGAGCCAAGCCACTCCCCTTGGCTCTATGTTGTTCTGAGGGAACCAACAGCTACCAGTTAGTATACCATCCAAATTCTGAACAGTTCCAAAGACAACCAAGAATGGATATATGCAAATAAACTACATGTTGAAAGGCACCAAGAGGAAACATATGCAAGGCTGCAAGCCTATGAAAGCATTGAGAAAAGTTGCATTATCCTATGAAAGCATGTCAGTCGCATAATTTTGCAAAAAAGTTTGTCCTGTATTTTTTTACAAGATTGTAGAATTAGATTGTGTAACAGGAAGAGATATAAAGATCGGGCAGTGAATTCATGTAACCCATGTAATTATTATTGCATTGAAGAAAAATAGAACAGCAAGGGGGGAAAGTAAGGGCAAAGGTTTCAAGTTGCAGGAACAAGAGGGTATGCTGCTTGATGAGGAAGGATTGGGGGATGGGTTTGACAGTGAGGTAGTTTCTTTCCAACTAGCAGATAAGGTGCCTGGAAGAGTTGGCAATAGAGAAGAATGAAATATCAAAAAATGATCTGGTGAAGGATGATAATCCTTCAGCTGACGAACTAGGGATCACTTGTGTTACCAGTACCATTGAAGGTATTGGAAGGATGTAGGAAAGATTGGACATTGGAGTATGTTTGCAAAAGTAAGTGTTGGGGATTGGGGGTGAATTTTGGGCAGAAGAATCTGATGTACAATACAATTAAGAGCAAATGCCAAAAGGAAAGAAAATTAGCTTGGTAAAACAAACTAAGAGTTCTGAATATCAGGCTATCAGCACATCATCCATGTTTTCAAGTTTTTTTTCTAGACTGAAAGGGTGGACTCTGGGGGTCAGGCATTTCTGAAAAACTCAGGAAGGTTTATAAAAGGAAAAGACATCAAAGGTTCATATGATAAAATATAAGGTAGATTGAGAAAATCAATCTACCTCAAGTGAATAAGGATAGTTACAGTCAAGATTGGCTGCATGCATATTGAAGTGTGTATTGTGACTATGTCTCATGAGATGCAGACTTACAAGTCTAAGTTAATAATTGAGCGCCCAGAGTCAGCTGATGCTGAAATGGTTCAGAAAGGTGGAAGAAATAAAAGTGTGCCAGAATCTGGAGAATCAGAAGAAGAAAACAGTGAAGATGAAAAGGATGATGAAGATGTTTCATTTGATTTCAAATTCACAAGGTGGATATAAATTTGGTGGTTGACAAAGAAGTTGAAGTTAGGAAAAAATATGGACTTATTCTTTGTAGAGGGTGGAGAGCTTTTGCCAGAAAAGTTTTCCTTGAACTTGAAGAAAGGGAAAATTCTAAATTTCCTGATTGTAATATTTAGGGGGAAGCTTGTATAGGGTGGGTGCTTTGAGAAGATTTCAGAATTGTTTAGGTTGTAAAGTGTAAACAGCAACAATCTGAGTTAAAGTTTTTTTATCAAATCTGAATTAAACCTTTCCTACAAAAGAACATAAATTGCATGTTTAGCAACAGACTTGTTAACTCCTTTAGTGCTATAAAAACTTCAGTTTCTAAAACAACTCAATTTTAGTTAAAAAGAAGAATGCCTTTGACATCACTTTATCTAATAAAATCAGTCAACTGGAAAAGCTTACAGATTTCCTGATGAGTCAGAAGATATGGGTACTCACGGTCAGGGTATGGTGTTATGCAAGCCTCCATTTTAACATTCCACACTGCATCTGGATCATCAGCTGATCTGCAGAGAGGCGGTTGAGTGCCAGGTTCCCTTTCCATGTAGCAGTCATTTGTCAGTGGTTTGACCCAAATGACTGTCTGGTTTCTCTTGGCAGCAATTTTCCAACACATTCGCTCCACAAGAGCACTCATTTCCCTCCATATTCTGAGATCTTCTTCATCTTGTGCATATGCTTCAGGTGACGAATAAGCAAAATAACCCCCTGGCCTTAGCAACCTATCTAGCTCAAGAAGAAGAATTCCATCTCTTTGGAGCCAATCAATCCTACAGCGAGAGCAGTGAGCAAACTCAAATGATCTGCTAGGATAAGGTAGCCTCCTTGTCCCCAAAACACCAAGATATGCAGGAATTCCTCTCTCTAGAGCAAACTGGATCTGATTTTGGTGCACATCATTTGGTGCCAAAGACATTGCTATGATATCAGATGAAAGAAGATATGCTCCAAAACTAGCAACTCCACAACCTACATCAAGAACTGTCCTGATCCTGCCCCCATTATTCAAGTTATTGTTTGAAAAGTTAAGCATCTGCAAATACAAAATAGGAGAAAGAAAAATTGCATTACTTGTGCAGACCAAGACAGGTTTCAGAAGTAAATAATATAGAAGAGAATCAAGGTTACAAGTAATCAAGAGAACAAGGACAAAAGAAATATGGAACTATGGATCAAACAGGTAAGAATTGATGGAGGCCTTATTTCTATTATTTCTTAGAATTTTCTATTTTTATGTATTTCTTATATTTGCCTTAAAAAGGATAGAGGTCATTACTTGGTGTAATGGTAAAATCTCAGGCTGGAAAGTGTGAGATAACAGTTTGAATCTTGAGGGCAGCCACTTTGTGCCAAAAAAAAAGCCAGAGGGTAGGACCATACCCAGTCTACCCCTCCCAAGACCCCAGATAGCTGGAACCAATATAGGGTAACGGCCTTTTTTATCAACAGAAAAAGGATATGTCAATATCCAGCATAGAAAAAATAACAGGAATTGCTATTAAGCAATGAGTTTGGGCAACTCTTGGATTTTTTTGTTCCATAAACATGGTATGATCCATGAAGATGGGTCCCACTCTGTGTGTACTCTGTAGGGCTAAGTTTCCTAGAGTTACGTAATTTTTTTTATTTATAGAATTCCTCATAAAATAAATATAATACTAAAAGCCAGTGGGAAATAAAGTTACAAGGAAGTCCAGCATCAGCCCTATAGAAACTAAGATTTTTAATTTATATGAAATTTTGGTTTTTCTATTATTTCTTAAGGTTGTGTTTCTGTTAATGTAAAAGGAGTAGAGAACAAGGTTCTCTAAGTTTTTCTATCAGCAAAAAATATAACTGAAATATTTCAGAATGAAAATTTCTTCACCTATTTTACATTGAAACTAATGGAACCTAAAGAAAAAAGGTAGTAGAATGGTTAAGGTTGAAGTCTCAAGGCTTATGCCCTCATGTGTCCAGAGGTTTTGAAACCTTCCTTCAGGTCCTTCTAAAACACTAGGACAGCTATACAACCATGCAAAGTAAAGCACTTCCATGTTTCTTGATTTCTTGTATTATTAAAAGGGGAATCATCTTACATTAGCAATAGAGGCAATATATTTGCCAGCTCCATAATGAAAATGAGTGCCTCCCCCTGGAAATGCAATCTTATCACCTTTAACAACCATCCAGTTCTGGTCAGACTTCTCATGTGCAAGGTGAGTATGAGGTATGTTTGCTTTCCATACTTCATCTCTGCTTCTTGGCCACTTAATTGGGACCTGTACATTAGAAGACATCAGAAGAGATGACACAAAATGAATTATAGCAACAACTAAAAGAAAAGAATTTCTAGCTTCACTCCTTGTATAAAATTTAAGCATGATCAACCTTGTAGCCTAGTGGTGGAGGAATCAAGCAATTGTATCGCCTTTCAGGTGGAGGACAATGTCTCTCATAGTGCTCCATCAAAGACAAGTCCAGCTTCAACCTCATCTGGTATATAAGGTTCCTGTCTAGGCAGGGAATTAACTCTGAATACCGATCATCACAAACCTAAAATGCAAACAAGAAATTATAGAATGTTTTTATTAATATAACACAAAAATAATTAGGAAACATAGGTTGATAAATTTGTTTCACAGGAAAAGAGCAAAATCTGGATGCCAGCAAAGCTTAAACAGAAAAAGAGAAAGAAAACTCACAGGAAAACTCTTAGGTGCAACAGCATCCTCTCCATCTTGCCCAAATGTGGTGGAAGATTCATCTTGCTTGCTGCCAAGATCAGAGTCATCATTACCTCCCAAATAGGATACTAAGGATCTACTTCCATACTCAAGAGTTGATGCACTGTGATGAATTCGAGACCCAAAAGAGGATCCATAATAAACAAATAGAAATATAAGAAAAGTTGCCACAACACACAATCCAGTGACAAGTCGCTTTTTTTGGGCTCCGTCAGCTCTTCCCCTCATTGTTTTGGTGTCAAGAACCACTAGTAAATTTTAACTCTAGTCCCACCACAGCATTAAAAAGATGAGAAATTGATCCTATAGAAATCCAATATCCATTCCCAAACCACTGTTCTGCAACCTTGCTTCAATTAGAGTTTAATGATATGAAATTCCTCGCATAGATGTTTGATCCAGATAAAGAAACAGAGGCTAAAGCATGACCCTGTAAAAATCAAAGATAGAAACTGTCAGCAAGGTCCATAAAGCAGAGCATGTATAGCTTGAAGAATCAAACACAGAGTTCTATAAAAGAGAAATTAGAAAGGAGTCATCTAAAGACTGAACTTATAGATCATTTAATGACAAATACATGACAATCAATATCCTTGATCTTCACATAGTCAACCATATTGAGGAGATGCTAAAACCTAAATAACTTAGAAGTTTCCCAAGGAAAAAAGGAATCATCCTTAAGCGATTGATCATCTGAAGCTATAGAACGAAGAGAATAGTCACAAGTTCCACAAAACCAAATGCAACCACTATAAGGGAGATATCACCAAAGTCCCTTCAACAGCTAAAAGTTTGGAAGTTAGAGAAACCCATTTAACGCATATTAAATTTATAACCAGTTCACGAAAGAACAAGCAAATTTTCAAGCAAAAAGATCACAAATCCAACTTACAACCACAAAGGCACCAATAGTTAGAACGAATTTAATAGTTCTTAGAGAAATCCGCTGGCATTAATTAATGAACGTTATCAGAATCACGTAATGAAATGTGCCTGAGAAGCATAATCCCCTTTTTCCTCTATGTCAGTCCATGTTCTCCTAACAAATTCTACTCTAACTGGCCCCAGTTACACACCACCGACCTCAAGTGCACGTTACCACACATACACAGTAGTGATGTTTGACGTTAACAACCGACAACGGCATGCAATAAAATCCAGTGAGAAAAATATAAATAAAATTGAGTTCTTTGGAAAAACCGTGTCGGCAGTATTTCAAAAACTTAATAAAAAATAAAAAGAAGAAATTTAACGGGGAAAAAGACGAAATTTGATCTCATTTCAAATTTTCGATGTTTCTTTCCATAATACGAAAGATATTCACAAACCAACTAACTCAGTAGTCAGTAACGCTCTGAATCACTGGATGAGCTGCAACTAGCAGATCGTGAACAAAAAACAGAAACAAAACACTTGGTTCAAAGTAAAATAATTCACGAGATTGCTAAATCCATAAACTTCTCAAAGCGAAAACAATAAAAGCAATCGTTCAATCAACGCAAACAAGCTCCAAATCCAGCATAGACAGACAAAGACTCAAATCCACCCAAACCATCGAAATTCAAATGACTAAGCATCAAAGCAGCCAAACTCTTCAACACCGACACGAAACTCAACTAGATCTACTAAGAAACCGCGCACTTCGCTCTCAAATCGGACAACAAAACCAAGAGGGGATTTAAAAAGGAAACAGAATAGAATCAACAAGGGATCCCATGCTATATGAAGTATAAACAAGCATTGAAGAAACTTAACTTACTGATTCTAAATGCGATCTAGATCTAGACTCTGAAAGAGATCTTCGATATCCAAAGAGGATTAACGAATCGATACACGAAAACGAAAACCCTAGATTTAGCTATGGCCTCGGAGGAGAGGCAGAGACAGTGATGAGAGTGAGTATAAAAAGGCCGATAAACGAAGAGGAGGCACGAGCGAGTTACCGAACAGAGAGAGTGAGTTAAGAATGTGAGATCTCGCAAAAATTTCAAAGATGCTTCATTCTTTATTGTTTTGTTCCTTTTGGGGAATTTACAGAGACCAGACAGAGTGAAAGTCTGAAAGAGAGGAGAGCCAGAGAGGTGTTTTCACGAAAAAAGTTCGGTTAAGTTTTGGTGAAGATAAAGCAACATTGAAACATCGTATTAACTTGTAGCCAGATCTCTAGTCGTTGGATCATAAAATGATGGAATGAGATTGAAAATCTGGTGGTTTTGAGTGAAGGGGAAGCATGTAGTCCTTATTCTTTTTTGTACGTGATCATTAGAATCGTCTGGCCTAAAAGATGGAAAAACATTTTTGGGAGGTGGGGTTCCATCATCCATTGCTGTGGACGGTACTTTTAATCTTGAGCGTTTATAGATGGAACCCATTTATTGCTTGCTACCAAATGATAAGATTCAGTTGGGTTCCTGTACCGAAGCGGATGGCTGGGAAGGGTATTTTTGTCAATATCGCGAAAATATGGAAGGTGCTTTAGTAATTATGGTAACAGCAGACCAGTGTTACGAATCCGGATCCGCTCCAACAAAGTATGCCTCAACACGCTCCCACCGTCATCTGACACTCCACATCTGAGACATGTGTCCCAGTCTCATATGTTGATCTGCAGTGTAAGATGATATTGAACTCTACCCACAAGGATCCTACCACACTGTTTTACACAGGACATTGCACCTGTACATTCGGAACATTTTGGTATTTATATGTTACCATTTATGAAGTGTTCTCAATGTACAACTGTATATCCTATTAGTAGGTGTGAGTAGGATTCTTGTGAGCAGTAGATCCAGATTGGATAATATTGGAAGCGTGTTAGGAAGTTGGACATAACATATTGGTAGTCAAGCTCATTCAGCCATACATTGAGAATATAAGACCGGATCTGCTCCTCACGGAGGGTGTGTTTCACATCGACTTCATACGCACATCCTATCATGCATTGGGAACATCTCCTGTATTTATAAGTTATTGTTCATGGGAGATGTTTTTAATGCACGATGGATATGCCTGTGAGCAAGGTTCAAAGTATCAGCCCATATTAGCCTATATGTATCGTTTCGGGACCTCTCCGATATGCCCCTACAATGGGTGTATCGGGGGTCTGACCGGTTCAGGGGGTGGAGGAGATTCATGGGAGATGTTCTTAATGCACGGTGGATATGCCTGTGAGCAAGGTTCAAAGTATCAGTCGTATTAGCCTATATGTATCGTTTCGGGACCTCTCCGATATGCCCCTACAGTGGGTGTATCGGGGGTCTGACCGGTTCAGGGGGTGAAGGAGTTCTAAACCGGCCCTCCTAAACCGGTTTGAAAAAAATAAAAAAAAAAGAAGGTATTGATTCGCCCAATACACCCCTACCGATGTATCGAGTATATCGATATTTTGAACCTTGCCTATGAGGCACCCATGTGTGAGGAGCAAGTCCCATTCCTGAGAATATCCGCCATGTATAGTACACCTCACAAACACATTGCTTGACATGTTCATTCAGGTGCACATTGAGAGTACCGGTGATGCAAAGTATAACATATATTTCCAATGTGCAACTGGGTGAACATGGCCAACAATGTGTTGTGATCAGCATATCCACATGTTTTATTGGAAGATCTCAACTCGCATAGACAATAGACAATTGAAAACATATGGACACAAATCCAAATGAACCAGACAGTCCAGATCTTCTAAAGGTAGCACTTCCACTGCACCAAATTGGACCAGTCAGAAGCAACATCCTTACTCCTTGTGTCAATAGACCGGTTTTGGGTTGGACCCATCCAAACCAAAATCAATTTGGACGGATTGAATGGACCAAGACCAACAACACATATTAAATTGGACCAGTCCAAACTTAAATGGACCAAAGTATTTATTGGATTGGATTGGACCTGATCCATTCATAATGAATTTAAATTGGATTGGATTGAGTCAATATCTGGTCCATTGATAGAAGATAAAAATATAGGCACCAAGTTTGGATTAGAACCAATTTAAATTAAAACAAATTTGAACAGATTAAATGAATTATACATTAACTTGGACCAGTTCAAAATGATCCAAAATATTCATTAGATTAGATTGGACCTAATTCATTTATAATGGATTCACACTGAATTGGATCGGATCAAACCAAATCCAATCCAATTGACACCCCTACTCCTTAATTATATAGTGCTTGGAATGGAAACTATTTTTTCAAGAGAAACTGTTGTGCAAGTGTATTGCACGCATTTCATACCATTTCTTATTTGGTTAGCTTTTTTTTGGTAATTTATCTGGTTAGCTGGTTTTATGTAAAAGTTAGTTGTAATTCTTTATCTGTATTTTTGTAAAATTCAAATATTCATAAATCACCTTTTTCACATTTCTTGCAGTTGTGTCTTGAAATGGGAATAAACAGAAATAAACAAAAAAAAATTGGGGATTTGTAATGGGTTCAGTTTTTCTCACAATATTTTAGGTGAATTCATTGACTCTAACAATCGGACAGGGAACCGTTCTGGGTCTAACGGTCCCACTGTTCGGTCCGAACGGACAGCCTCTCTGATAAAAATTAAAAAACTTAAAAAACGGCCAAAWATCGTTCTCAGGTCAAATGGTTCGATGGTTCGACCATTTAGGTCAATGGTTTGCTGACCAAATCAACTATTTTGGAGTAAAACAATGATTGGTTCCTGATTTTTCTGGTCCAACGGTTCGGAACACTTAGACAGGCATTTGATTCATTAAAAATAAGTTATAATACCCGGCAATTTTTATGATGTTCCCAATAACTATGATCTATTAGAACCCCCCCCCCCCTATAAATACCTATTGATAGGGGTGAGAAATAAATCAAAAAACCGAACTGACCAAAAAAATCGAAGGTACCGGTTCGATTTCGGTTAACCAATATAGAAAATCAGCAGTTAACCGAACAGACCGGTATACATATATTCTATATATTTTTTTATATTTTTTATATATATTATAAATTAATAAATATGCATTATATATAAATACATATATATATTTATAATATATGATATATTATTTATTAATTAAAATATAATATTTTATATATATTTATAATTTTTATTGTATATTTATATATATTTTTATAATATATATTATAAAAATTGAAAAACTGAAAAATCAAAAAACCGATGAATCGAACCGACTAGTTTCAGTTCGGTTTCGGTTACTAGTTTTCCAAAAACCGATAGTACTAGTTCGGTCCTAAAAAAAAACCCATGATTCGATTAACCAAACCGTGCTATTGATTATCGCTTTTATCCATGGTTTTCAAACCGGACTAGACCGAACGGTCAGACCGAAAAAACTAGGAACCAGTCCAGTGACCGATTCCGTTTTTCCCCAAAACCAAATTTTCTCCAAAAACCATTGATTTTGGTCAACACCGCTGACTCAAGCAATTAACCATTCAAACGATTTTAACCATTTTTTATTTTTTTATCAGAGTGGGTCAGACCGTTCGACCCGATAACCGAACCCCTGACAGTGACAAGTTTGGTCTCCGGGTCGGTTTTAAAAACCATGCTTTTATCATACGATTGATTGGTTATCATTTGAAAATGTTGATTGATTATTACATTTTACGTACCATACCTTCTACCCTTTTCAATATGATAGATAATTTTAGTGTAAATTTGATATTTCATCTTATTCCATCTTTTTTTTTTCCAAGCAGAAGACATGCCAATAATTTCATAATGGATATGACTTTTAAATTAAACAAATGACAAAATAAGATTATTATAACCGACTCCATATAATTCGAATAAGTCTTAAATAATGATGATGATGATATCGTATTCAACCACGTCCTTGCCTTATTCAGTTAACATCACGGATGATAAGTAAATTTCTATTGATTTCAACCAACAATCACTATTAAAGAAGAAATACATTTCATTTTCCATCGATAAAACTTAAAAGAGCTTCGGTCGTCATCATCTTTCCCCACTGGATTACAAATCCTATTTCCATGGAAGATCAAATTATTCTCCATCAGATTTTCTTCAAACCATCCAAACTATGAGCAGTTTCATTTCCTTTCCAAACCTGCTTATGAAAATAAAAACAGTGATTCTATTTAAGGCGTACTCCATGAGCACACTGAATGTCGGCAAAATGATTATGATTTTAGAGCCCATTTGGGAGGTGTCCAAATCAGCCCCCCACCAGATTGCCCCTCACAGCATATTCCCCCAGTGTATTGTGAACATTTGTCGATGATGTCATCATCATTTCTGGTATCATCATCGGGAGATATTCTCAATACACGGTTTGAATGTATTATGGGACGTTGTGGGGTGCAATCTTGTAGGGGCCGATTTGTTCTCATTTGGGAGGGCTTCTGTGTTTTGATTGAGCCGTTAAATAGAAATAACGATTGTTGAGTGAGTGAGTGAGTGAATGAGCAAGCCGTTAAATAGAGTGTGTGGGAGGGCTTTTCAAAATGCAAAAAACTGCTGTGAGAAAGTCCTCACTTATTTGGTGTACGTGCTTACCAAACATGTCTACCTTGTCTGGTCCCATTTTAAGCTCCAACCAATTCAGTGTAAAAAACGTCTTTAACCATGAACAAAGTCTCTTTTTCTACATATACACTCGTTTGAGTCGTTTCACTTCTTAAGATGGTTTTCAAACTGCCGTTGACCCAGGTGGTTGGATCATTCAGCTCTGGAACCATTTAGGTAACTGGTTCCGTTTTACCCCAAATCCAGTCTTTAGCCAAAAAAATCAATAACCTGTTGATCTGGACAGTTGAATCGTAGATCCATCCACCCATTCAACAGTTTTTGGCTGTTTTTTATTTATTTTAATTTTTTGTCATAACAGGCCATCCATTCGAACCGGACGGTCAGACCATCAACCCAGAAATCGGTGGCCAAAACGATTCCGTTTTCGAATCATTTTTTAAAACTATACTTCTCAATACCCCTCCAAATAAGTACCACTTTCCAAAACAAAATTTGTAAATTATTTTTTTTACAATCAAAATTCATGCATATACAAATAAAGATAAAAGGGTAAAGATACAAGTATTATTGAATATTGACTA